TATATATATATATATATATATATATAATAAACAATAATATGATTTTTAGCTTCCAAAATTCAACAAAAAACATGTTTTTAAGTTGTTAGTAAGGAAAATAACATATATACCCTATTAAGTTTCTACGGTTTACCCATTTAGTCACTTAACTTATTTTGTGGCTTTATGAAGGAACGAATTATTTATAACCTAGCAATCTAATCCCATTTACATATTGTAGCCGGTTTCCATTGCCACATAAGCATAAGCTAACATGTAAGCGATGACATGGCAAAATTGAGAGCGTCCCCAACAACCCAAACTACTGGTTTACCCATTTCTCTTTCTCATCAAAAAACCCTCGTACCCTTTCTACAATCCAAAACCAGATATAGAAACGAGAGGATCGGTGATCGGAAAGTACCCATTAATAACTGAAATTGTGAAGTCGGCGCCATAAATGGAATCATAAAGCACAACCGGAAACCCACCTTCAACCTCCAATTCCACCCCGTCGATTCCCACCTTCTACAACGACCCAACTTTCGGCTATTCTGAATCAATCGCCTATTCTGAATCAATTGCATGTATACCCCTTTGAAACGGTTTAATCGTAGGTATACCCCTTTTTTTCTATTCTGAATCAATCGCCTATTATGAATTAATCGCAACCGATCCCCCTTCTCTAGAATTGAGTGATGCGACAGTGAATGAAGCGAAGTTGCTGATCGATAATTTCGAATGTGAGAATTCTTGTTCGCTTCTTGTTGATCGTGGATGTTATTATAATGATAACATCTGATCGGCATCTAATTGCCATTGAAGAAATCGATAACAGGGTTACTATCCAGTTGTACATTTCAACTGTATTTTAATCGTAATATTTGTGATTGTATTGCATTCAGGTTAATGGTAATGATGTTTTCTTCAAAGCAATTGGATATCTGTAAACCTGAAGATGATGATCGTTCTTCCAAGTTTGAGGAACTCAGAAAAGATGAACAGGAACTGGTGCAGGAGGTGACATTTTTGGTGGTTAAAGACGGTAATGGTTGTACCGGTGGTAAATGGGAGAGGGATAATTTTGGGTAAATGAAACTTTACAGTTTGTGGTTATCAGTTTCTTTAAGGAGATAAAAGATGGTTTTCTTTATTTTTAATTGATTCAGATGTAGAAGACGATCGAAGAGAAAAGAAAGAGTGTAATAAATAAAAGATGGTCTTAAGGGTAGTTTTGTCATTTTAAAATTTCTTTTTGTCATATACACCAAACATGTAGATTAACACAAAGTGAAAGGAAAAGTGAACTTTTGAAGGGCAAAGTCCACATCATCAAAATAACTGGATGACCGCTTCATTTCTTTAAAAATGACTTAATAGACCCGACAAAACAAGTTTGTTTCCTAATAAAGCACGAAAAACACTTTAGGGACTGAATGAGTAAACCTTAGAAACTTAATAGGACATATATGTCATTTTCCCTTATTACTATAATGTTTTTAAGATGTCATAACTTTTTTGTTTTAACATGTAAAATTCTGCTATAAATAATTAATTGTTACCTACAAAATACCTTATTTTAGTCCAAACAACAACTTCTTTTAGCCCCAAAAAAGGCAGCTCAAAATCAATCGGGTGCGGGGGCGGGGGTAATAAGGGGGATTCAGGGGTGAGCGCAATGGTAGGAAGGCTGGACATTTCGAGGGTGGGAGCGGGGACAGGGGAACGGGGAAATTTCGAGGGCGGGGGCAAGGGTTGCACTCCTCGTCCCGTTTGCCCCGTTGACGTCCCTACACAATAGTGGTGTTCTTCATTTTTAAGAAAACTATGACTTTTTGTTAAGTTTTTTTTTTTTTTTTTTACAAAAATCTCCAATGACCATTTCTCACAGCAAAATAAATATAGATGTATATTATTAAAACGGAGTTTTAGGTTAAGAGATTTTTACAACAAAATATGACATAAAATTGAGAAAACTGGAAAATGTGATATACTGGCCTACACGTTTTTACTTTTATATTTAGTAAAAGATCACCTTTTAGAAATAATCAAATATATCAAAATAAATAGTTAAATGATTGAAAATATAATTAATTAAATAATAATGTTATATTGTCAATTAAAACAAATATTGAAGTCCTGAAATTTAGTTAATTAGAAAAATTGAGAAAATAGGTTAAAAGTGTCACCTTGTTGAAACTTGACTTTAAATAAGTGTTTTAATCAAACTAGACGTATATGACCTAATTTTCATATAATGTGTTGAAGAAAGACTATAGGTGAAATATTTTTATGTCTAGATATAAATTAAGGAGAAATAGTACCAAATAATTAAGCTTCATATCATGAGAGAGTAATTGTAACATAAATCAAAAGTATGAGAGTATATATGGTGGGTGTTCTCTGAAAATAGAGATAGGTTGACTTGAAGTTGACGATTTGAAGCTTAATTGAAGATCTAAGGTCAAATTTTATGGAGACTCAAGTTATGGTTTGAAGCTAGGAAGTCAACAACAAGTATTGAGGTATAATTCTTCTTTATCTATCATTAATGGTGATATATGATTTAGATTAGAACCAAAGTCCAAAGTTTGATTTTAAATTTAGATTAGTAATTGATTATAGTCACGTTCTAGCACTTAAAACTCCTGACCTTTATACAATCTAACTCTAATTGATTGTGGTGGATTTTGGTGAGGAATTGGAAGCTTGAAGCTCCATTAATGGGATAATCGTGGTGATATGTGTTGATTAAGTTTATTGTTGAAGTAACTTTGTGTCAATAATCTAAAAAAAATCTCAATTTAAATCATCACTTATTACCATGTGTCACACCCCCGAATCAGACGACGGAAACGTCCGGGGGCTTGGTGTGACTTTCAACATTGTAGTATCATTACAGAGTATATAATTGAAACATAACATCATCATCATCACACATGTAATATAACAACATTCATTGTTTACATCGAGTATTGTATTTGAATATTACATACCAAAATAGTCAGAGTATGATGAAACAAAATATAACAAAATATCCATTAGTTTGTTTCGCTCATCCTACTTCAACGGTTTCCTGAGAATACAAGTTAATTTAAAAATGTCAACATAAAAATGTTGGTGAGTTAATAAGCATGTTTGTGAAAATGATCATGCTTATTTTCTGAAACCACCAGAAAATCCTATATTTTCTTAAAACTGTTTAGTATGTTTGTATCAGATCTTGTATTAATGCATGTATGTTATTGTTTATTTGAATAAAAGGAGTAAAGAGAATGTAGAGAGAATGTAAAGAGAATGTCCCCAAACAACCCGATGCTGTCTGTAAAAAAAAAAAGAATGGTCTTCCGTAAACTTCATAACGTTAATTCCTCTAAGTGAGCCGTCATAACCATACTAAATAATGACAATTTCGCTTGTCTTGGCGTTGTTGGACGCCGTTTTGATTATAAGGGTTTCGTCACCCTAGACTGAGTTAGTCTAACTGTAGCGAACAGCTCAGGTGTGGGGTGTCATCCCCGTATAGA